TTTTTTTTGTTGGTTTTGTTGTGTCTGTCTAGGATGTTTCTGAGGTGTTTTTTTTTTTTTTGAGTCGTGATTTGGTATTAATATATCTATGAAGGTGTTTTTTGTTTTGAAATAGCCTCATTTCTCCATCAATTCTGAAAGACAGTTTTCCCAGAAGTATTAGTCTGGGTTGAAATTTGTTTGCTTTTAGGACTTGAAATGCTATACTCCAAATTCTCCTGGCCATTAAATTTGTGCTGAGAATTCTGCTGTAAACCTGATGAGGTTACCCTTACATGTTGTGTTTTGCTTTTCCCTGACAGCTCTAAAGAGTTTGTGTTTTTGGCAGACTTCAAGGAGTTTGACTTGGTATGCGGTGGGGAGCTTCTTTTCTTATTGTAGTCAGTTTGTGTTCTGTAAGTCCTGCTTACCTGTATGTTGAAATCTTTCCTCATACCTAGAAAAGTTTTCTATTATGATCTGTAAAAAGATTTTTTATCCAGTAAGTATTGTCTTCTAATTTCTCTCTAACTCCAATTAGCCTTAGATTATTCTTCTTGGCATCATCTTTGGATGAATTTTTCTTGTTCTCTTACTGTTTTTAAGGCTTCTCTGAGTAATTCATCTTGATTTTCCATTTTATTCCCCATTTCAGAAACACTGTCTTCACACCACTTCTGCAATTTATACAATTTTTCACCTCCAGTGATTCTTTCTGAAAACTTTTTCACAGAGTCTATGTCTTTGGTAAATTTGTCATTTCTCTTTTGAAGAATTTTACTCATCTCTTTCTATTTTGTATTTGTTTCTTCCATATCTATATTGATCATTTTCTGTGTTATTGCCATCGTTTTGGGAATCTGCCAAGTTTCTTTTCCCCTTTATTATCATTTTGTACAACTCCAGTGGTGCAATGTTTGCTTTCCTCTCTATTGATGCCCTTTAAATCTGTTTGGGGGATGTTGAGAGACCCTGGATACACACACACACACACACACACACACACACACACACACATATATATATATATATATATATATATATATATATATGCACACACACACATATAAATATATTCTTGGTGCTGGGGTGCTGGGGTGCTGGGAGTGCCAGTCAGATAGAGTGTGGAGGGATTGGTTCATAGGAAGATCTCTTTAGTTAGAACTTGTTTTCCATTGCTGTGTTCATGGCTTTATTTGTCTAAGGCTGTTTTCATCCCCACAAGCTTTTCCATTTAAAGCGTCTAGGATGCACTCTGTTACTATGATATAAGGAGCATATTTCTATTGTTTATAACAATGTTAATAGAACCCAGCATACGTTAATCATAGACATTAAAATTCATTTTGATAATTTACCTGTTTTTTCAATACCCCTTACAGGCTGCATTGTACTGAGATGTATAATCTATAGGAATATAGGAAGGGTAAAGGGAAGGGGATATGTCAATGGGAAGAGAGGAAGATAAGAGCTATGTCAATAGGAAATATGAAAATAGGAAGTTGGTCTCTGATGGAGTTATTTTATAGCTGGGGTAAAGGACTGCTGTACAGAGGGATTTGGAAGAATATTTGTGTAGTCAATAGGATGTAGAGAAGTGGATGGCAGTGTATTTAGAGACTGTGGGAGACTGAGATTGCTAGTAACTGTTAAGGTATTTGTTGACAGTTTTGTTTGGTTTCTCCAAGGTCAATTTTGTTACGAATTACCCTGACATATGCTTAAATGGTACTGTTTACTTTATAGAACTGGTTAATTTTTACTCTCTAATGCACTTTTACAGTCTCATGTTATGTTTTTGACATTACATAGATGGGGGATGGGGGAAGGTAAAATGTGAGATAGTGAGGATTAGAAAAGGTCTAAAATTAAAGGGAGGTGAGATTTGAAGATTAGGAGGAAAGAGAGAGAGAGAGAGAGAGAGAGAGCGAGCAAGCAAGCAGGTCAAACAGGAAACCCTTGAAACTTAGCATTATAATCATACAATACTAATAAGAACCAAAAGAAAGAAGAATGAGAACAATGAAAATAGAGAATAAAAAAACCAACAGAAATGATAAGAACCAAAGTGAATAGCCCAAGTCCAATAAACTGGCAAGGTTAAAATAACCACATTTACCAAAATAATCACATTTGCCAAAATCAGCACAGAAATAAGAGTAAAAGCCTTCACACAGTTGTTACAGCAGTAAGGCAGTTCTGCCCCCATCGCTCCTCTTCACTGGTGTTGCTGGTTTCAATTATTCATGCAATTTCCTCTTTGGAGGCAATTGCCTAACAAAAGCCTAGGGGACTTTGCTCCCTCCTAACTTGTGTCCTGGCTTTGAGCTCTGGGTTTGTTCTTCTGCAGATCTCCACGGATCCAATTATCTTGGTCAGTTTGGAGAGTAATAATTGTGAATTGTGTGTTTTCCCTTCACAGTTTTTTCTTGCCGAAAGGCTGTTATCCCGGGTTCTGATTTTGTTATCTGTTTCATCTCCACCCGCAGAAACCACAAGAGGATGCTTTCCCTCTGTTCCAGTTCCTGGAAATAGCACTGTCACTGAGGTTTTTTTTTATGATTTTGCCCCAGAACTGAGGTTTATTTTCTTTTGCCCTTCTTCATGGGTTTCCCCTCCCATGAAGGGCATTGAGTGCTCCATGTATTACCATCCTACTTTATGTAGGAAAAATAAGCAGGTTATTATTGCAATTATTATTTTAAGAATTGTGTGTTGGAGGAAACTTCTCTTTCCCAGAGTCTTGTAACCTGCAGGCTGTGAGGATGGGGATTGCTGGTGTGTGACTATAACATTTTACTCCACTCTGCTTTCAGTTTCCTTGAGACCCTGAGTTGGAGCTGTCCAACTTTGCTGCACCCATCAGGGAAGGTACCTTAACTGAGGGCTTATTTAATAATCCAGACCATCTCTGAGGGGTCAACTTGCTTTCTCTCTCAGCCCAGCTCTTTCCCAAGATGGTTTGGGGTGGAGGTGGGGCCATGTTTCAAGCATGGACCAGTTTTCCTTCTCCCACCCTCTAAACTCTGGATTTTTGTCCAACTGGATTGATTTTTTTGTTTCTTGTCCCATATCAGACTTTATCTCTCACCCCTGTCCCATAATAACTGCTTTTGTTCAGCACTGAGTGCACCCTGGCTCTGCTCTAAAGCTCTTTTCATTTGTGCCCACCAACATAGAAATGATCTAAAGTACTGTTAGATAAAAAATCATGGCTAATTCTCATTATTGTTGAGAAGGAAAATTTCCCCAATGATGATAAGAAGTTGTGATTACATTATATTTGTGTTCTCTGTTTAATTAGTTCTTTGTTGCAGTAATAATATTAAATACTCAAGAAGCTTACAAAATAAAGTTGCTTCCCCTTCCCAAATTGAGGCCATTTAAGCAGAAAAGCGAGAAGGTAGCTTTTTGTCTCCGTATCTCCTCAGACAACATTTCCATTCCTCTTTGTCCTTTCCACCAGTCAACAATTTATATACAAATTTTCTCCTTGGTGTACAAAATCATTTGCTGATCTTCTGAAACAAGGGGACAGCCTTGCCTTGTTACATACTTTGTTGAAATTTCAGATCATCTGGGGCATCATGGAAAATATCACAACCCAAGATAAAGTGGAAATTTAGCTAAGGTTCTTTTTCATTATAATGTATCTGCTTATTAAACTATTTATTACTTGTTTTAACTAGATAATCAGCAAAATCTGTTTATTTTGTTTTGTTTTTGGTTTTTCTCTGGTACCGGGAACCGAACTCACGACCTTGCGCTTGCCAGGCAGGCACTTTTGCCGCTGAGCTAAATCCCCAGCCCCTAGCAAAATCTGTTTAAAAATATTGGATCTTTCAAACTGTAATTAAATGAATTTAATGTATGTAGTTAATCCATTCAATATTAGTACATTTGAGGAGAGCAGTTTTTTCTTCTGCTGACATGAAGCCAATTCGATATTTTGCTCCTATTTTGAAGGATTCTCAACAGTATTATGGAGTGAAGAAATTACGCATGCTCTAAACACGGAAGAAAAGTGATCTCTCAGAAGGAGCAAACTATGAAAACTTTTGTGTGAAAGCTATCTAGCAGCAAAAAGAAGATCTCTAAAATAGAAGATGAACATCCTTAGTAAAAAAAATTATATCAGATGAACTCTAATACTTCAGTGTAAAACATTTAAAATCATGACATTGCACAGCTAACACTATACATTTTAAATATGGCTCTTAAACATCACAAATGTCTATAAGCTAAGTGATGTGTTGCAAGTGCTGTGGCACTCCTGTTATCTATGTTTAATGTTTTGCTTTTGTTTTCACTATGCAGAACACATAAGACAACAGGGAGAAATATTTTCAAAAGCACATAATTCTATGAACTTAAGTCTAGTTTTTCATATTTCCACATTTTTTATCAATCCCTATTTTCTCATAACACTGTTAGACATAATCAGAGCATGGAAAAGTAATTCTTTCTCTGGTAGTGTCATTCATTTTGCTTCATACCTGTATTTTTGATAATATCATATTAGCTTTTAACATTATTTCAGTACACTTTTTCTATGCCTCTTGAATAAGATACTTAAGATCCAAAGGGAAATCCCAATATACATTAACAAGCAATCTCCAAAGACCATTCCTTATCACATGGATCAACATGAAATTCTTTCTCTTAAGAAAAAAATATATTGTAATTAAAATGAGCTGTATGGCTATAGGAAGTATTGAAGTATTATACTAATATAATATACTGTTATAAAACTATATATATATATATATATATGAGAAATATTAGGAACAAAGTGGAGTTTTCTTTTCAGCAATTCAACAGTATCACTTTTTCAGACATTCATGACATTTGTACATTTAGATATTCAATGAAATGTCTATTTTAAGATGGAATTTTATTCTGAAACTGGCATGAGAGAACATGAAATGTCAACTTACCAGCTTTTTCCTTTTCTGAAATACCTGGAATAGCCTGAAAAAGAAAAGAGAAGCATAATATTATGGTTTTATTAAAAATAAACATTAAATAACACCACCAGGGAACAAAGAAAGTATCATAAATGTAGCAAAAATTGAACAGGACCTGACAATGAAAAATAAACATCTTGAAGTTATTAGGTAAATCATCATGTCTGGCTGTGATAACTGAAACCTATTATGTCATTATTTTCCTGTCTGAGGATATAGTCAATCTAACATATCCTTGTATTATCTTTAAATTACATTGACAGTGAGACTTGAAATTCTTTGAATTTGGGCAGGATTTCTGCAGTTAAATATTTTTGTCCTATTTCTGGAATGAGAGAGAGAGAGAGAAGGAGAGAGAGAGAGAGAGAAGAGAGAGAGAGGAGAGAAATTTATTTTATTTTTAGGTCACTGTCTAGGCAATTTAAATTTCTGTCCTGTCCTTGATATTCTGTGTTCAGTTGAATAAACTATATTATCTTCCAAAGCTGAGATTCTTACATAAAACAAAGACAATCACATGTATTTTACTGGATTGCTGAAAGAACAAAATGTAACAGACTAGAAAGCATATGAGTTCTCCAGGAAGCAGATAGCTGTCCCTACTGTTTATTCCTATGGGCACTGACCGAATGGGTTAATGTAATGAGACAAAAAGTCTAGAAGTTCCATTCCCAGTGTTTATCATTATTTAAAAAGAATTGGTTGAGAATGAGATGTCTCAAAAGACTTAAGAAGTTTAACTATCTGGTTTTAGTCTTTGTTGATAACCCTAAAACGCATTAAGAAAGTTGAATCTCTGGTTCTCACACACTTCAGTTATTCATATGACTAAAATAAAATTAGCACAGGGACATTAACTTATACTTTTTTATATAAATATATCTGACCCATTTTGATTTGAGGCTTTCTACCCGTAGTCACTCATCAAAGAACAGGTCTGACTACAGAAAAGGTCTCCTTTGTTCAGCAGACAAAAATCCAAAGTTGGGGCAAGAAAAATATATTCAAATGGGTAGTTCTATTATGAATGTGTGTGTGTGTGTGTGTGTGTGTGTGAGGGGGTCCAAGTACGCCTCTGTTATAGATGAGTCTGAGAAAATAGCACTCAGCTTCATTTCCAAAAATACAAATACAAATGTGCTCTTACTTTCATGAGATACAATTACTGCTGAGGTCATCATTTTTGGAATTTAAGGGATCTGGAGACTGATGCAGTTGTTCAAGCAAGATAAAAATCCTCTTATAGATTAAAATACAGGAGGGGTTGCTTTGCCAAGATTGATCTATTTTGAAAGTATAATTTTGAATTCATCTTGGTCTACAGTTAACTGTTCAGCACTCGTTCTTGAGTGTGCTATCAGTGCTGCATCCTGTCAGAGATGCAGGCATGCAGAGATTACTAGGGTATAGAACAACAGCAGGTCAGAGACCAGGACATCAAACAGATGGCGCCAGCTTCCAGCACTTTCTGAGCATCCTTTCAATGAGAGTTACATCCTGTCCTCTGATTTTCCCTTCTCCTTCTTGAACTTCTCTGATTCAATACAATGGGAAGGCTGTTTCCTTCCTTTACAAGAAAGCTTTTCTATGATTTTGGGATTGTTTGTTATTTTCTGTGTGCCTCTTTCGAAAAGTATTTCAACATGGAATTAAATCTGTACTGTATGTACCAGCGCCAATTTCAAACAGCAGAACAACCCAAAAGCTGTGGTCCAGGCCCCCGTCCCAAAGGGCTCCCAGGCTACATCTGCCAGCACTGCAGCCCAGCCAACTCCAAGTATCGTGCTTGGTCCTGAGCAGTGGCGCCACATGCTTGTGATTCTCAATGGAGAGTGAAAGCACAGACTCAGAATGAAAACCAGTCCCATCAGCCGCTGACTCTCAAAAGACAGGGGCTACCCCTTCCTGTTCAAAATGTTCCAGCTGAAACACCAGAGGAGTCTAAGAGACTCCCCCTCCCCCAAAGGAGCATAGTCAATCCCTGGCCTCCAAGACAGTGGAGCAATCCAGCTTTTGCAAGTTTCCAGCTGGAATCAAGATTACTAATCACCCCACCATGCCCAACACAGAAGTGGTGGCCATCCGCAACACAGCCCATATCCACAGCATCATCATGGCGCTGACTGCCAAAGGAAAAGACAGTGACAGCAGTGCAGTGGGCCCAGCAAACTCCTCCTCATCAGTTGCAGGGGAGCCCCAACTTGTTCTCCAGGATCCCAGTCACAAGCCCAAAGCTGCGATGATTCCAAGAAGACAGAAGTGCTGAGGAGTTGGGATGTGAATGTTCCTAGACCACCTGGAGCCCTACCGGGGCACCGACGGAGAGTGGTACTGGCAGTGACACAGCAGGTTGCACTCTGGACAGCAGCTGGACCAGCATCCAAGGGCTTGGGAAGATGAGTTCTGCAGCACCAAGCACAAGTGGAGGAGAAAATGGACTGTCACCTGGAGCAGAGTCAGGTCAAGAAATCCATTTGACACAAACTTTCCCTCTATGACATGCTCATTTGAGAGACATCTGCCAGTGGCAAAGCCTCCTTTTGGACCATTCACCCCACTGTGAACAGACTGTTGACTTTGGGCCAGGTGTTTAAGCAGCATAAGTTGCCCAATGCGGAGCTCTGCCTGAATGTGAACATCAAACCCGAACTTCCCCTGGGTGTATGGAGGAGGATGAAGCTGCTGCTGCCACTGGTCAGCTCGTACCTGTACCTGGTGTCCATCTGGTCCCCCATGAACCAGTCCCTGATGTTGCAGCCCACAGTGAAGGTGCCGTTGGCTGTGAAGGCTTCACACATGAACTCAGAGCTAGCCCACCACAGTAAGTGAGTCCACACTTCTGCCAAAGTACTGCTGGATGATGAGGGTGCAGCCCCTCTTCCTCTGCTGGATCAGCGAAGGAGAAACCCCTGCTTGCAGAAAGGCTGTTGACTTTACTTCTGGTTCAATCTAGCAAGGAGGAAGACATCCAACCCAGGGAGGACATGTCCCCCTTAGGGAGACCCATCTAAGTGTAGAGCCCTCCTTCTCCATGTCCACCTTTCAAAAGGAGTCATCTCATTCCTGGAAGGATTCATCCCACTCTCCCATCCAAGGCCCAAGAAGTCCTACAGTGAGCTCAAGTTCGCAACATGGGATGTCTCAGAAATGCTGTAGGTCAAATGAAGGAGAAAAGGGAGACGAGTCTGTCTTGAAGGAAACAGTGCTTGTTGCTTCCCTGTGTGCATGAGCCTGAATTTGTCTTCTCAGAGGGCCCCAGCACATCTCAACAGGCTGTGGAGCCCTCCCTGTCCTGGTAGAGTCCAAGGAGCCCACCCTTCAGCTTGGCTGCCCCCAGGAGGACCTTTCAAGACCTCCACTAAGGAGATGCTGCCTATCTCTGCTACCATGCGTAAACCTTCCTCCCTAAAACCCCTGAATCCTGGAGGCTTACACCTGCCAAAGTGAGGGGGCTGGATTTTATCCTGGTACAGCGACCCCAGGGCACCCTGGCCCTCTCCCTGACTCCCTGGGGCTGATGGATCTGAGCATCAAGCCACTGAAAAGCATTCTTCTCTTTGATTCACTCAGAGAGCTCCTCGTTTCAGAATCCTTTGACCTTGCCTCTGATCCCTTTAGCAGCTTTTCCCCTCAGATCTGGAGGTCCCTAAGCCAGGCTCCCTGAAACCACAGGTTCCCCAGTCCTTCAGCCAATAGTTCTCTGACAGAGGCCTGGTTCTAGACAGTGAATGACAGCCTGAGTAAGATCCTGCTGGACATCAGCTTCTCTGGCCTGGAGCAGGACCCTCTGGGCCCTGACAACATCAACTGGTCTCCATTCATTCCTGAACTACAGTATAGGCTGGACCTTGACCCTTATGCTCAAGCTACTCAGCACTCCAGGCACCGGTGTGACTGGGCAGTCCCAGGCTCAGCACATGCCGCACCCTCTGAGTGAGGGCTGCAGGTCAGGTCTCTACCAGCCCAGTGATGCAAAGGCAGCAGCCACACCCCAGCCACTGCTGGGCCTTTTGCAAGAGTAGGGTGAGCAGCTGGACTCTGATGAGAGTGATTTCTCTGTTCTCTGTGTCAGGAGCTAAAGGGTGGTGGTGCAAAAGCAATGGTGAGATGGGATTAGGAATTCCCCACATCACTTCCATTCTGTGTCTGCCAGCCTCAGTTTCCCTGCTTATTGTAGGGTGGCCTTTGTAAACAGAACAAATTCTTTCAATTATCCTCTAGGTATAAGTGAAAGTTTGAGGAGGGTAGGATGACAGGGAGTTGCAGTTTGATTCTGTCCCTTGCTTTGGTTTCTAGAGGGAGAAGACCTGCAGTGCATGGTTTCCTGCAGGTCCACGGGTTCTTTACTACGGGCAGCCAGACATTTTTCCCCAACTCTTCTTGCCAAGGTCCCTCATACTGCACCCTCCCACCTCACTGTGTTTCCAAGTCAGCTTTCCTGCCAGAAGAAATCTGATTTGAAAGGTCTTGTATTGAGCCAAGAAATGAATTTGGAGATGGAATGGATACATCTGAAGCAGAGTGGTACCCAGATGTGCGCCTTTGTTAGATGTGTCTCTGATAATGTCTCTAATCATGCCAGGGAGACTATCATGGGTGAGGACTCAGAGGAGACTCGAGAAGGTAGACAGGATCCCTCACATGGCTGGTGTCCTTAGCTGGAACCACAGCTTTGCAAAGAACTACAGTAGGCTCTAGTTGGCTGTCTGGGTGTGAGCCAGCTCACAAACACTACCACAATTACCTGCTAAATAAATTTTTTTAGCATAATACTGCTAAAAAAATCTATACTGTATCATTCATGCTAAGTCTAGCTCCTGAATTTATCTTTGATCAGGGTTTTTGAAAAATGCAAACAAACAGCACAACAGAAGCACCTTCATCGATTGACAAGGTCACAAAAGTTCATGGCAGGCAATTAAAGGGTTTTCTTTTGGGAAATTCCTCACTGTAACAATAACTAATATTTACCAGATACTTAGAGACTACAAGGCACAGTTTTAA